GAAAAGGCCTTCATGCTTATATGTATCTCCAGCAACCTGAACATCCATCTAAGATTTCCAGTATATTCTAAATCTGCCAATAAGTGTTGCCTAACTTGGCAAGTTAATTTTCTTACCTTCCTCGACTCTAGATCATTCATGTGTCACTAACCCGTCATCAATCTCATCCACCCTGGTAACAGAAACACTCGGCAATACCTCTTCATTAATACCTCCTCCATTTCGTATGACTGGCATCTCTTGAGAGACTGTTGTCACCTGAAGAAGTTCCAATGGGGTAGCTGCTGGATCCAGTTCCAAGCAACCTCTTGGTGCATTTTGACCTTCTTGACCAGTAAGCAAGTGATAGGGGACCTGATGAGAAAATCGGAACATCTCTTCTTTCGGGATTCTCTTGAGCATTTCAGGCTCCAAATTTGGACGAAATACTGTCATAAAACCCATCACCTTCATAAGAGGAGCAACAGACACGCCCTGTTCTTCATAATCATCAAGCACCATTACCATGTCATAACTGTGTATAACTTCATCAGGAGTACGTTCGTCCCAATCAGAAGACCAATTTTTGTAGAGTGCCCAAACATCACTCTTCTTCGGAAATATTTGAATAGTCCCTCGTGGGCCTTTTGACCAAATAACCTTCTGAGAAAATGAATTAATAGAAGTGCAGATTTCATATCTGCCAACTCTAAATTCCCCACAGGTTTTGTAGAAGCCTGAGCCTACCCAGTCAATGGGACCAAATTCACTGTTGGTTTTTGAGTTAAGCCAACTGATCCTCACCTTAAATGGATTCCTAGATAGCACCTTGTTAATTAGGGCATAAAAACGCGGCATACTATCATCATCATCATAAGCAGCCCAAACTTCGTTATCTCCGAAAGAACTTTCACTTCTATCCTTGTCAAAATCATGAAAGTCAGGATCTGGAACATTCAGTGAAACTGCCACAATATCCTTCTTATCTGCATTATTGGCAGAACAACTAACACGATGCTTGTCAGCCAGCTCTTCTACCTCAGACAACAACCCAACTTTCCCATTAGTGGTGCTCTCATACTTCTCTCTCTTGCTTTCTTTCGCTTTCTTGCTCTCTCTATTCAGAGTGTTGCTTGGAGTCCCTGATTTCCATTCTTTTAGCTTCTTCAGAATCTCCTTTTGAGCCTTCACTATCAGCATCTTTCGGGTTTCAAGCAGTGTCAGCTCTCTAGTGCTGTTTGGCTGACTGTAAGTGCTGGGAAAATGATAGATCCTTGATCCTGATGTT